CAAAATTCATTTTCATCTTTATTATTCATGACAGAGATATTCATTTTGTTCAACCACTAGCTTTATGCAGAAAATCGCAAACAAGTAATGTATAAATCCGAGTAAAAACATATTTGACTGAAAACAACAACATTGACAAACAATGGCTGCCATAAACCAGAAATGTAGACAATACAATATATACCAGATTAGATTCCGGGAGCTGATAAGGGTAATTCCGGGTTTGCCGATAAAAAACAATACATAAATAAAAACAAAAAATCCAGGCAGGTGACTAAATATAGCTATGAAATATAAACACTAGAATTGAAAACCAAAAGGTATATGAAAAAGAAAGAAACAGGAAATATTTTATGCAGAAACTCAAAATTAATAGTTCACAAATTTTCATGTCAAAATCTGATAAAATTTTGAAGGGCCAGTAAAAATCTGGAAGAGCAAGTGAATTTAAAAAAGTGTTAGCCTGCTTGGCCAGTTAAACTACATCTTATTTCTGTCCCTGAATTATTTATTATATTAACCATGTTAGCTGTTACTGTCTATGAAGATAAAAAAAGGCGGTAAATTTTTATCACATGTGTGCTTTAAGAACTACAATATTTTGATACTAAAATAAACTTGAGTGTCTTGTGTTGTTAAGTTTAAAAACAAAAAAGAACAGAAAATAAAATTGTAAATAGCAATCATGTAGTTTCTTACTCTATTTTCACAAAAAAGGATATTTTTTAGTGAACTAAACACACTAAAACTCACATCTGGTATATTTGTTGTTTTCCCAATTTCATTGAAAATCGCGTAAAATAAATTCTCCAAACTGGCCAGGGTCCTTTTTCCCAAAATACCCAGAAAAACCCCTGGTAGTGTCACTTTAACCATTATTGAGTTATGCCCCTTTATAAATCGAAAGATTGCAAAATTTTTAGTTTCCATTCTGAAACTTAAGTTTGCCCCAACCAAACATTATGAAACCTATACACAATATTCATTACCACAAAACTAAGATCAAGTACAAATTTTTTGTTTCCGTTTTCTAACTTTAGTTTACCTCAACCAAATGTTATGAAGCTTATACACAATGCTTATTACTACATAATACAGATTAAGTACGAAATTTGGTGGCGACACTTTTACCATTCTTGAGTTATGTCCCTTTATAAACATAAAATTGCTGAATTTTTAGTTTCTGTTCTCTACTTAAGTTAGCCTCAACCAAATGTTATGAGACTTACACACAATGCTTATTACCACAAAACTCAGATCAAGTTCAAATTTGGGTAGTGTCACTTTTACCGTTCTTCAGTTATGTCCCTTTATAACTATATGATATGCAAGCGGGGGCATCATCTGTGTCCACATGTGGACACTATCCACATTTATTTACCTATTATTTTAGCTATTTATCATGAAAACTGTAAAAGATAAAAAGAAACTGTAATCTTGCAGGACAAAATGACAAATAAGTCAAAATGGTATAAATTGTCAGTCAACTCCTTCAGAGCGAGGGTATACTGTTTAACCTCTGTCTATCTGTCCGTCCCATGAAATTTTTATTGCATTTTTCTCTGGAACTACAAATCAGAGCTGCCGGACATTTGTTATCAACCTTCATTTGAACATACTAAACCATGTGATGGGGTTTCAGATTCATCGATCATCAACTTCTTGTTTACCTAATACTTATTCATTCCAATATTTAACACCTATAAGCCATGTATGAAATTTTTCTTCACATTTTCATAGAGAACTACCAAGTCGGAGCTTCCTGAAATATTTTATCAGTCTTCATGTCAACATTCTGTACTGTGTACTGTTTTTCAGATTCATTGCTCACCAACCTCCTGTTGCGCAATTGCTTATATATTTTAACACATAAAGACCATGCATGAAATTTTTGTCATATTTTTCTAGGGAACTGCAAGTGGCCATTGTTGAATATGCACAAAGATAGAGGTGGATGACACAGGATCTTTAGAGCTTCTAGTTTGCAATTATTATCTCTCAAACTAAAAAAGACAGAGAGAAACTTTAAGAAGCAAACATAACTAGCAAGATGAGATCTTCAATTTAACAAAATGAATTGCTCTTAAATAACATTCTTTAAAACTTGTTTTTGCTTTTTATATGACCCCAAAATTTTTTTAGTCGTATGATGGTATGATGTTGTCGTCGTCCAAAGACATTTGGTTTCCAGACAATAACTTGATTAAAAGTGTATTGATCTCTACCACAAGGTTCCATACTTCAAAAGCAAGGTTGGGATTAATTTTTGTTATTATTATCCTATTTTTCAAAAAAAATAAAAAAATCTTCAGTTCATTATAATAAAAGTCTATTATCCTTTTAACTTAGATATAATTTTATTCTGCATTTTATTTCCACTACATCATACATTTCTAAAATTGCTAAATCATCAATATTAATTTTTATATGGTAACAGTTTAACAATGTCAAATAAACATCAACCCCTATACATATCCATCTGTACCACACTTGTAGCAATATATATATATATATATATATTAAAACACCAAAAACTTGATAAATAATTTAAATACAATCCAAATTCAGAACTGTATCAAGCTTGAATGTAGTGTCCATACTTGTCCCAACTGTTCAGGGTTTGACCTTTGTCTTGGGGTTCTTAGATATGCCGAATCTAACAGTGTATATAGATTTGATCAGGGGCCCAGTTTTCAAATTTCATCCACATTAGGGTCAAAAGGTTCCAAAATTAAATTTGGTTTGATTTTAACAAAAATTGTATTCTTGAGGTTCTTTGATATGATGATTCTAAAAATGTATTTAGATTTTTGATTTGGGATCAGTTTTCAAGTTGGTCTAAATCTGGGTTCAAAATAAAACATCGTTTGAACAAACATTTGATATATATGGTGGTCTTCGATATGCTGAATCTAACCGTGTATTTAGATTTTGGATTTTGGGCTCTTTTATCAAATTGGTCGACACTATGGTCCAAAGCGTCCAAAATTAAACTTTGTTTGATTTCATCAAAAATTGAATTCTTTGGGTTCATTGATATGCTGAATCTAACTATGTATTTAGATTTCAGACATTGGACCATAATAGGTAAAAGTCCCAATTTCACAAATTTTTAAGTTCTTAGACCACATTCATTCTGTGTCAGAAACCTATGCTGTACGTGTCAAATATTTAATCACAATTCAAATTCATGTTCTGTCCATACTTGCCCCAACTGTTCAGGGTTTGACAACGGCAGTCATATCAAGTTGTGCCCTGCTGAGCATTTTATTAGAAGTTATTATAGATAAAGAGAAATCACCAAAATGATTAGCTAGATAAAATCTACAAATAATCAAACATAACTGATTGCAATATAGTTGAAAATAAATATCTAAATGGCATATTTAATGCAAGATGAGCTGATCAGGCTTTTATGAGCCTCTAGTTTGTGTATTTGCAAGATAGAATAGTTGACAGGGAGAAACTATAAATAGGCAAAAAGGATCAACAAAATGGAATCTACAAAATTGGTTCTGAATGATATAGCTGCAGGATAAGTTCTACTTTAATGTCAACATGGCCAAAATCATCATGCAGTCAACTCCTTATAGTATTTGTTACCTTTTAATTAGTTTCTTTACCATTTTTGTGTTGGTTTTTTACTCGCCTGCACGGAAAGCGAGACATAGGGATTGCTTTTCTGGCGACGGCTGCGGTGACGGCGTCAACAATTGTTAAGTTTTCTGCTTAAGTTAGATTGATAGGAACTACTTGTAATAGATCAATGATATTTTGTATGAAGTTGCATTACTATCAGTACATATCAGTTTGACAACAATTTTGAGGCCCTGCCCCCTAGGCCATGATCCAGTGACTTTGATTTAATTAGCCATTTTCAATGTTAGGTTTTCTGCATAAGTTAGTTTGATAGGAACTACCTACAATAGTCAATATTTTATATAAAATTAAATTGCTGTCTGTACATCTCAGTTTGTCAATCATTGCGAGGCCCTTCCCACTAGTTGGTCCAGCGACTTTGAATTAATTAGCAATGTTGCTGTCCATCGGATTGTCTTTTTCTGAATTTTATGCTGACAGGCCAGACATGTCTGTGTAAACAGTTTTTTTTTATGGAAACTTCAGTAGAAAAAGAGAAACTGTACAAAAAATTACCAGCAAAATTAGATCCTCAAATAAATCAACATGGCTGAAATCGGCAGCTTTCCTTTTATTTGTGCTACAGGACAGAAGTAGATAAATAACAGGTTCATCTTAATGGAGGAAAATGTTTTATTGCTCATCTGTTTGAAAGTGTATCTTTTATGATATCAAGACGGAAACTGGCTGCCCTAAGCCTGTGCCAGCAATTTCCATGTTTTCTGTGAATATTGCACTCTGACATCCTTATACCCCAGTAATGATGTATAGTTCATCTGTTTGAAAATAGATCTTTTATGATATCCAGACAGTAACTTACTGCCCTAAGTGTAGGCAATTTCCTAGTTTTCTATATTTACTTCTTTCTGACATCCAAGGCAAAGCAAGTCCCAGATATACCATCAGACATCAGAACAATCTTGTGTTCAGTAATGGTAAAAATAAATATCAAAATGACATATTTTTGCCAGGTGAGGGATTCAGGTTGTACCATCATCTAGTTCTTTGGCTTGATGCCTATACTCATTTGTAAGAGAGAGGCAGAAGATACCAAAGGGATATTCAAACTCATAAATTAAGACAAACTGACAACTCAAATCCAAAAAACATAAAACAACCACAAGACAAGCAACAGTCTACAAAACACAACATAGAAAACTTAACAAGACTGAGAAACCCCACCAAAAACCTGGGATGATCTGAGGTGCTCCAGAAGGAAGAAACTAGTGTTTGCTCTTCATCCTCTTGTGTCATACTGGGTAACTTTGGTACAGCTTGCACAGTCTGCGTACTGAGCTATAGACATGTTTTATTCTTAAACTTTTCACTAATACAAATGTCCATGTATTGTTTCAGCTCAGCCAGTGTTTACTTCTGACACCATTGACAAGGTAAAACAGTTTGGTGAAATCGATAAAGCAGTTGATATATATGTTAATGTGTATAGTATTCCAAAATTCAACAGTTTTATATGGTCTCGTGATGGAACACCAATAACACAAAATTCAGCAAAATATGAAACATCAAGTTCTCCTACTATTGTTAAGGATATGATTCATGGGAAGGAAGTACAACTGGATGGTTATAATATTACACTGACCATACGTGAAGTGAAAGTAGAGGACTTTGCTAATTATACTGTAACACTTAAAAGTGGAAACTTTATAGAAGTACAATACTCTATTGTATTAGAATCTGCCAGTAAGTATCTTGGTTGATAATAACTAAATATTTAAAAAAATTCTATGAAGTTCAGTTTTTTTTCTCCTCCATTCATCAATTCATTTATGAAATTTTCATTATGAACTCTTCTTTTTTGGGCACAGGAATTTAAGGAATGTACACCCTCTAGATCTGTAATTTTGCAAGGAGGTAATAAATTTTTATCCAGGTTTTCCTTTGGAAATTGAGTTATTAATTTAGGTGTGAATGGCAGTGGGATGGACATTTAGACATTCAGCTGTTTGTGCTGGGGGCAGCTACAGTTGTTTCCGTGCATTGACTTATAAATTGTTCGAACAATGCTTTTGAAAATTTAATATGTTGATGCTGAAATTCATATGTCAAGTTCAATATTGACAATTTTTAACCGGATTTTCGAAGGAAATATCGGTTATTGAAATGGTGATGTACGGTGGGCGGCTGGGCAGATCTACGGGCGGCTGCCAAACAGTGTCAGCACAATAACATGAAAACGCTTTAACAAATTTTTTTCAAATTTAAATATGTTGTTTCCTGGGACTTAATGAAGGTCTTGTTCAATTTTCAAGATTTTAGTATATCTCCTTTGTGAGTTATCGCCATTTTTAATATCCAAAAGTAGAATTTTAAAATATTTTACTCTTGTTATCATGTTATGATTTGTCTTGTCTCAGAATAAAAATTTGAGTGACAGATTTATTTGAAAATTATCTATTTCCTAAGTGGTAATGATTATAAGCTATATCATTAGACATTTTGAAGATTATTACATTATTAATTATGTTAGAGTACTATGTTAAACAACCATAGTTCTGTTCAATTAGATATTAGAAATATTTTAGCATATGATAATGATTTATTTTCATTATTAATTAGATCTTGGAAATATTTTAGCATATGATAATCATTGGAGTGACAGATTTATTTGAAAATTTTCTGTTTTTTGATAAGATCTGTAGGACTGTATATATAAAGTTTGAACATTACTAGTAGGACTGTATAAATGAAGTTTGGAATTTACTGTTCATTATTAGACATTTTGTAGATAATTAAGTGTCCATTAATCATATATATTCTTGCCCCTACCCCCTTCAATTTGATAATGTGCTTTTATCTTGTAAACGGTTGAGATCCCTACTCCTAAACCATATATATTCTTGTATGGGACAAAAAAAAACAAATCAAATGAAATATTTGGGGAGTCCCCGGGTTCACCCCCACCCCCTTCTTTTTGAAAACGTGTAAAAGGTCAAGATCCCCACCCTGAAACCATATATCTTCTTGTACGGGACAATAAAACAAATCAAATGAAATATAAGGCGAGTCCCCTGGGGTCACCCCCACCCCTCCTGTTTAAGAACTTGTAAACGGTCCAGATCCCCACCCCTAAACCATATATATTCTTGTATGGGACAATAACACAAATCAAATGAAATATAGGGGAAGTCCATGGGGGTCACCCCCACACCCTTTCTTTTTGAAAACTTGTAAACGGTCAAGATCCACACCCTGAAACTATATATATTCTTGTATGGGACAATAAAACAAATCATATGAAATAAAAGGCGAGTCCCCTGGGGTCACCCCCACCCCCTCCTGTTTGAGAACTTGTAAACTATATATATTCTTGTATGGGACAATAAAACAAATGATATGAAATAAAAAATTCTTTGGTTCTTTGATATGCTGATTCTAACAATGTTTGAGTGTTAAATCATATCTAATTTTAGAGAACTTAGTCATCACTGGTTGTTGTTATTATATTATTGATAATAATTTGAAAAATTGCATCATATCTTATTTTAGAGAACTATTTATCCAGTTTGAGTTATTTCCTTTTGCACAGAAAATATTATGGATAAAATTAACCTGTGTTTCATTTCAACATAAATTAAATATATATATAGGGTTCTTTCAAATGCTGAATCTAAACCTGTATTTAAATATTAGATTTTTGGGCCCAGTTTTCAAGTTGGTCGAAATCAGGGTCCAAAATTAAACTTTGTTTGATTCAAAAAAAAAATAAAATTATGGGTTCTTTGAAATGCTGAATCTAACCATGTATTGAGAGATTTTGGATTGTCGGCTCCTTTATCAAATTGGTCCACATTGAGGTCCAAAGGGTCTTAAATTAAATTTTTGTCTGATTTCATCAAAAATTGAATTCTTGGTGTTCTTTGATATGCTGATTCTAATATGTACTTAGATTTTTGATATTGGACCATAATAGGTATTTAAATGTCCAATTTCAAGTATTTCAGTTCTTAAACCACATTCATTTTGTGTCACAAACCTATGCTGTGTCAAATATTCAATCACAATCCTAATTCAGAGCTGTTTTAAGCTTAAATGTAGTGTCCATACTTGCTCAACTGTTCAGGGTTCGACCTCTGTAGGAAAATCCGGTTTGCTGTCACTCTGACAGCCTCTTGTTACTTTTGTCATTCTTTATTGAATGAAAAATGGTACTTTTTGTCATAACATGCAATAACTTAGAGATCTGTTTAACCAATACTTGTATATTATATAGAAAATTATATTTTTATATGACAGCAAAATTTTTACGTTTCGTATTATGTTATGGTGATATCTGCGTTGTCATTCGAAGACATTTGTCGTCCTAAGAAGTGTGGTTTAAAGACATTTTGGTTCACAGACAATAAGTTGAGTATAAGTGTATGGATCTCTGTGAAATTTTAGCACATGGTTCCATACCACAATAGGTATAGAACCACTAATTCGGGCCCGGTCGGAAAGAACATACAAGAAAGTAGTACATATTTTAAACAAAATAGTTCCTATGCATAGCTGTATTTTTGTCAATAGGTGAACTATTTGGGTAGTTTTGGTACCAAATGAAAGCTTGGGGACTTGGGATCACTGTAAAACCCTTGTTGAAAATTTCTTTTGAATAATAAACAAGTATATGAAATTATAATAGGAGGGCACGTTTGCCATTAATACTTGAAATTGCAGAATTTAACATAGAAAGCAATGGTGCTATGAATTAGTGGTTTTATACCTATTACTGAAAGGCGTGTGAAATTCAAATTTTAGAAATCATACCCATTACAATGAATATTGTTCACATTTGTTGTTAATAATCATGTTACATTAATTTTTTTATGTGAGAATTATTTTGGTGTCAAATTACAGCCCTCAAATTGCTACAATAAGGTATTTCAGCCTTTTTTGGTAATTTAGCATGCATACAGTTAAGACTTTACCTGAAGTTTAAATTTTTGAATTATCTAAGACTGAAACTAACGAAACATGTATATTATGACTGGTTTATAGTGTGAATATAGCTTTTGGTTAAATTATCTAGTGACTGTTCATGTTTAATTGGGTTTTTTAGTGTATCATTTCTTTCAAAAGAAATTGGTGTATACTTATATAGGAATTCCAAAATCTCACTTGAAATGCAATTTATAACCAGCTTAGCAAGTTGTCTAGCTGGGAGATACATAAATTGCTCGTGTTGATCCATGTTTTTACATAAAAGTATGATTTTTACCAAATCACTCTCCTTTTTCAACATGTAGAAAAAAGGGAGGACAAAATTATCAATTATATTTTATGTTTGGACCACTATATTTACATTCAAGGAACAGCCTCTGCTAAAAATAAGACATATATGTTAGAACTATTCATAGTTCTATTTTTTTTATGTTCAAACTTAGATTAGAAAGAATTTCTTTCATAAGTTTATTCATGAGTATATCACAGATTTCCGGGCTTGGCACTGCTATCACGGCGCCTATTTTTTGCTTATAAAGCTGTCCTTTAAAATCAAAAATGTTGTTCTCTAAAATTGATCTGAGGAGATAGATTAAATCATCCGTAGGTGGGCATTTGATTTTGTAATCTGATTTATCAAACTGATCATTCGAAATTCTAACTGCCGATAATAATTCATTAATCAGGCAATTAGTGTACATTGATACTACATCAAAGCTACACAGCCAGCAATCTGCAATAGGCTTAATCTAACCATGTATTTAGATTTTGGATATTGGACCATAATAGGTGAATGTCCAATTTAAAATTTTTAAGTTCTTAGACCACATTCATTCTGTGTCAGAAACCTATGCTGTGTCAAATTTTTAATCACAATCCAAATTCAGAGCTGTATCAAGCTTGAATGTTGTGTCCATACTTGCCCCAACTTCAGGGTTCGACCTCTGCGGTCGTATCAAGCTGCGCCCTGCGGAGCATTTTATTCTTATACTGTATGCAATAGGTCTACTATATTTGGTGTATGGAATGATTGTAAGGTGTACATGTCTAGCTGGCAGGTGTCATCTGACCTTGACCTCATTTTCATGGTTCAGTGGTCAAAGTTAAGTTTTTGAGTTTTGGTCTTTTTTTCTAATACTATATATGTAATAGTTCAACTTTATTTGGTGTATGGAAATATTTTATGATCTATTTGTCAGTCAAGCAGGTTTTTTTTACCTTGACCTCATTTTCAAGGTTCATTGCTCAGTGTTAAGTTTTTGTGTTTTGGTCTGTTTTTCTTAAACTATAAGCAATAGGTCAACTAAATTTGTTGTATAGAAGAATTGCTAGCTGTACATGCCTGCCTAGCATGGTTCATCTGACCTTGACCTCATTTTCATGGTTCATTGGTCAATGTTTAGTTTACTTGGTTAATATGTTAAGTTTATGTGACAGTTGTAATAAAGCTTTATATTTAGGACTATCAACATAATATCAATGATTAGTAAAGAAGGCGGGACATTTCAGCGTGTGCACTCTTGTTTTCAAATTTAGAAATGTTGTTTCTCATGACTAAATGAAGGTCAAGTTCAATTTTCACTATTGTAGTATTTCTCCTTTTTGAGTTATTGCCATTTTTAATATCCAAAAGTGGTATTTTTAAATATTTTTCTCTTTTAATCATTATGGTAAATGTCTTATCTCACAATTATAATTGGAGTGACAGTTTTATTTGAAAATTTTCTATTTTCTGAATGGTGATGATTATAAGCTATATT